TAGTATCACCAAGCCTTTCATGCAGATAGATCAGGTGTTATAGTATTATCATTCAGTTCTTTTCAGTAGAATATACCATTTCTAACTTAAAAGTTCTGTTTCTTTGAGATCACAGCTCAAACACAAGCTTTATAGAAATGTTAGTATTGAAGAGATTTCAAAGCTCTTGAATGCTAGCAACCATTCATTGCCTTATTTGGTAAGTGACAAGGTGACACTTTCAATTTCTCTGTTTTCCACCAGGAGCTGATGCTGCCCTGTCTTTCCTCTGGTTACAACTTCAAAGAACCCCCCCCAAAAAAAAAAATCTGAGAGTTTGAAACTTGTGTTGCAGGAGAGAATTCCTGGAGGTTTATGATTCAGATGGAAATTTGCAGCTTCTGTAATGCACGCAGGTATTCTTCATTTTCAGGATCCAGCTCCAGGGCTTTCTTGTAGCACTCTGTTGCCTGCTCTTCCTCATGATTTAGCTCATGAATGAGCCCGAGGGTGCTAAAAGCTGCCGCGTCTCCTAAGCCTTTCTGAATTCTCTGTTTCAACAATTTCTGCAGAGCAGTTTTGCACTTAGCTCCTGTCGTGGAATCCTGCTCAATTTTCAGCCCTTCTGTGAAATATTTAATAGCTTCAGATTCTGATTTCATATGAAAATGCTTATACATTCCGTAAGTGTAGTAGAGTTGCTGTGTGTCTAGAGGATGTAAATTTGTCATTTGAAACACCTTCTGAAATGTGGCTTCTGCTTGGTAGTACTGTTTTCCTTCTGCATACATACCTGCTAGGTCACCGTAGGCAGCAAAACACGTTGACTTGTACTCGATCACTCTTTTCAAATGAAAAATGCCAAGTCGAATGAGTTCTTCCATTTGCTCTCTGGGGGCATATTTTCTCTTTTTCAGTTCAAACAGTTTGGCTCTATAGCAGACTCCCATCTGGTGATGCAAAAAGCTGCATGTTGGAGTTACTGCTAGGGCTTTTCTCAACAGAGCTTTCGCTGTTACTGCTTCCCTCACCAACATTTTCCCAACGATGCACTGCTATTGCATAGCCCACGTTAAATTCGGGATCGTCGGGTTCTGTCTCCAGGGCTTTTTGAAAACTCTCCTTTGCTCTGCTATAGTATCCCCTCCCAAACTTTAGTAATGCCCAGCCTTTCTCGGAATAGATCTCTGGAAGCTGTACTTGAAAGCGAGCTGTGCTTGAAAGCTTTTTGCAGGTGTCTTCCACTTTCCTTAAATAGGTTTGAACTTCTTCATATTTGTTCATGTAGTAATAAATCCAGGCATAGTTCCCCCACGTAACAAGACTTCTCCTCTCGATGTCATCTGGATGCTTTATTTTAATTTCTTTTTCTGCTTTTTGGAGATTTTGCAGGGCGTCCTCATTCAAGTGCTTTAGGTGACACACATATGACAGCATATTGTAGCTTGCGATCAGGGATTGCGTGAGAAATTCAATCTGATGGCCCGTTTTGTCCTCTAGGGATTCCAGATCCACATCTTCCTTCACCAAATTCCATGTAAAATGGCATTGTAGTTGCTCCAGGCTGCATTTTAAGTCATTCTTGGAAATGATGCTAGGAAAAGAAATCACAGAAGAACTTATATTCTTATATCTGCTTTAAAAACAGAAAATCAGGCATGATTTAAAAGCAGAAACATGGAGCTGTCAAGCAATATCAGGGTTGATAGCATTAGATAACAATACATCAATAAGCCATAAACGCTTGTTTGTTGCATAGCACCACTTTTATGTTCTGATGATATTGATGAATTGCTACTTGTTTCCCATAGCTTCTATCTGTGAATATCATTACTTTCAGTAATGGCTTTTCACTAATATGTTTATTTCCACTGCTTATTTTTGTGTTTCCTCACCTACTGCTCTTAAATACACTTTTTATATTGTAAGCACCTGTGTGGGTACTGGAGGCCAAAAGAGCTGCCCTAGAATCATGGCACACTAAAGCAACTTTGCATGCTTCCACCTTCTTGTTTTTTATTCGGAGGTGTTTCTTGTGTGCCTTGGATTTTAAAGCAGTCATGTCCTGCACCAGTGACATCCTTAATTAGGAATTGTATGTGTTAGTCTATACAGTCTTGTATATGGATACAAGCTATAAAATGTCTTGGAGTCCCTTGACCCCCTCATACAAGGAAATATATACAGCTTTATAAAAAGCATTTTGAAATTAAATCCTTGTTTGTTATGATTTTTCTCCTTTCTCTTTTGTAGAACCAAGAGGATCTAAAAGCCTGTAGAATAAATGTGTGCTGCAAAATCATGTAAGGGAAAATCTGAAAGAAAACTTAGGCTTCAGCAGAGAGAATACATTAGAAAGACCAGAAAATGGGGAGGTGGCAAATCAAGGAGGAGCATAATTAAAATATATATATATTTCAAAAATATTTTAAGCAATATCTGCTTTTATAAAAGCAATCTCAAACTGATGCTTTAGATTGGTATTAGCAACAATGCTTAATTAGAAAACTGTATGTGGAGAAATTACATTTCTAGCAGAATGAAAGGGAAGTAGGGTTAGCTTCCTGCTGTCATTGCTGTCCTGCTCCAGTTAGAGCCTCTGACTATAAGGGAATGCCACTGCATTGGACCTATTGTGTCCCAGTTCAGCAAAATATTAGAGCAGTAGCTTAAGCACCTATAAAGCCCCATACAATCCTTTTACTAAAATTAAATATCTGATTTTTGCAATTCTTTTTGCTTTTTGTTGCTTTGCCTGAGAGCCATAGAAAGTGATGGGTGAGAACAACAGTGGAGAATAATGAAAAGACTTTCATGGCAAATTAACACTCATGCATAATTCACAAAAGAAAGGATGTGTGATGAAATACAACTTAGCTTAGTTTCATATGCAATTTCTAGGTGCTAATATTTTCAGAATTGTCATAAACACCTCGGCTTTGCTGAATCTGAGTCTGTGTGACAGTCTTCAGAAAATGTTATCCCTTTTCTCATGCTATGAGCTGCTATCCATTACCTGCATTATCTTCTTTCTTACTGGAAATAAGGGAAGGAATTCTCGTAAATCCCAGCAATGCCTATCACCCACCCAGCAGTTCTCCATGGACCACCTGCATTACTTCATCCACAAACTGCATGCCGGAATTTCTCTCAGTTCCGTTTCCAAAACGGAGCCTGTCAGTAGCATTAGAGCACTCGGCTGCAGCCTCGTCCTATCTGGCTGCTCCCGGTGACTCTCCCGCGTTTCCCCCCGCAGTGTCCGGCCCCGCCAGCCCCCGCTCGCTGCCCGTTCCCGCTGCCAGGCC